AGTAGAGGAATTCTGTATGATCTAGGGGGCTAACATTGGAAGGGAATTATTTATAAGTTTTTCTAAATAAGCATTAATATCAGGTACAGTGATGGAAAACTAGAATTTGGTATAATGTATTAAAATAACAAGGTTTTCCTGGACTATTGATCTGATCTTAATAGGAAATTATGAGAGCAGTTTATTTTATCTGGTACTTTTCAGGAAAGTGGCTTAGGAAGCAAAGATTCTGTGCTTTACCAAGATCATTTCTTTGTGGTCTTTACTAGGGTTTTGGTCACTTGGGAAACCGAGTCCCTTCTGTGAAAGGGCTGAGGTTTTTCTACAATGTGTCACTTTCTGTGCTTGCCTTCTGGAGTGTTTGATTGTCAGTTTGTTTGAATGACCATTGTTCACGGTGATTTTATTTCAATCAAGTATTTTAGCCTTTCATAAATTTTGACAAACCTCCAAATCAAATTTTAGATTGCGTCTTTTTGACACAGAACTAATTTGGGGATTTTGGGGCCCCCAGAAAGCTTTGAAGGGTGTGTCTTACTCTGTGGAAGAGAGACGAACTAATCAGACTCCCTGCCCCACCCATGCCCTGCACTGGGGGATGGACCCAGGGCCTTGGGCACACTGGACAAGGGCACTACTACCACTAAGTTGCATCCCTCGCCCACTCTCAACTCCCGCCCCCTTTTTTAAAAAATTTATTTTGAGACAGGGTTTCACAGGTGCCAGGCTGGTCTCAGCTCGCAATCCTCCTGCCTGGGTTGTGCGTGTGCCTCCATGCCTGGCCTAATGGGCTTCCTTGACCCACTGAACGACACAGAGGAGATCGCCAAGTCCTCCTTGAGCTGCTTTGCCTGAGTGTGTTACTAATGTGTCTCTGGAATTGTACAGAGTCACAGAAAGCGAACAGTCCTAATGCCATCAATCATAGGTTTAGTCATTAGCTTCGAATGTGTGCAACAGATATAACTGAATTTCCTTATCCACAGATGGTTAATTGTTTACTCTGGTACTTTCCAGAGCCCAAAGTGTTTTGTTTTCAAGGACATTCATGGAAAGGGCTCTGACAGATATAATTTGCAGCTAACTTTAAGATTGTACCATGGGACTGGCTGAGAATTCCCAGAGTTTGTTTGTTTGTTCCTTCTTTCCTTCCTTCTTATTTATCAGTCCTGGGAATTGAATCCAGGGATATTTTACCACTGAGCTACACCCAGTCCTTTTTTTTTGAGACAGGGTCTGGATAAGTTGGATAAGTTGCTTATGGCCTTGATAAATTGCTGATCCTCAAACTTGTGATCCTCCTGCCTCAGCCTCTCAAATTTCTGGGATTACAGGCCTGCATCACTGCACCCAGAGGAATTCACAGAACTCTTATGAGGAAATAGATTGGCTCAAAAACCTGCTAACTCAACATCAAGCAGAACAAGAATTAACTAAATACAAGGAAATGCTTTGGCAGGTTTTCCTGCTGTCAGCCTGAACTGAAATTCTTAGGGTGCGTACTTTGATGATCTCCATAAGACTGATCAAGACAACTCCCTAGGGGATCTGCTTAATAAAACGTGGGAGGTACCCAAACTGCAGGGCAAGTCTTGGTATGTAGGAAGATGTGAATCCACTGAGGGGCCATTGGAACATCCCAGGGCTTCCTTCAAGGCCACCCTCAGTGGGGTGCTTTCGTGCTCTCTGGTTGGATGGACCTTTCCCACACAGGAAAGCCAGGCTGGGACGGTCACCACATGTTAGAAGATGTATTTCCTTTATGTGGTTCTTGGAGAAACCTCGGGACAGAGGACCTCCTTTATTGGGTAGGTTATAAAGGTGCTAGATAAGGTGTTGTAAAAAAAAGGCACTACCACTGTCCTGATCATCTTCAGTCTTCTGGAAAGGTTGAAAAGGATGAATGGCATTTTGAGCCAGAAACCGGTAAAATGGTACATGCTTCCCAAGGAATACGGCTCAGCAACACAGAGGGTGAACTACCAGTCCAAGCTTGAATGAATTCCAGGGCATTATTCTGAGTGGAAAAAATGTCGTCTCAAAAGACCACACACTGATTCCATCGATATGACTTAGAGATGACAAAGGGTTAGAAAAGCAGGTTCCATACTGGCTGGCAGGGATTAGGGGCTGAGCAGGAGGTGGAGTGTTTACACAGGGGTCCTGTGGGGCCGGAGCTGTGCAGACCTGAGCCTCCGCTGCCATCCCAAACCTACCCCATGATACAATGGAGGAGAAGCTGAGACCCACATGCAAATGAGAACATGTAAAAAGAGGGAAACCTGTAGGTGGTACCATTGGGGGACAGTGTACCGGGCTTCTCTCGGCCTTGTTTCTCCCCCTCCTCCTCCTCCTCCTCCTCCTCCTCCTCCTCCTCCTTCTTTTTTGTCTTTTTGCAGTACTGGAAATCGAACCCAGGGTGCTCTACCACTGAGTTATATCCCCAGCACTTTTTATTTTTCACTTTGAGATAGGGTCTCAATAAGTTACCCAGGCTGGCCTCAAACTTGGAATTCTCCTGCCTCAGCCTCCAAGTAGCTGGAATTACAGGCTTACACCTCTCCGGGAATCTCTGGTTATGTGAGAACTCCAGTTTAAGAGCAGGATGATAAGTCATTGCAAAAGTTTTCTGGCTGAAGACTGACTTTGGAGTTCTGAACCTTTAACCTACAGCCTGGTTTAAAAATTTTTTTAAATGATTAATTGATTAAGGACCTGTCCAGTAGCTAGTCACCCCTGACCTTTAGCCAAGAATTTCCTTTTCCGACACAAAGAAATGTTTAAGGAGATGAAAATTCTAATTACCCTGATTTCCTCATTCTATTGTATCAGGTATCAAATTATCCTATTGCACCTTGTAAATAGGTATAATTATTATATGGCAATAAAAAAGCCTCCTTGATAAACTTGAAAAAAAATTTCCTAACACAGCATGACAACACAGGACAGAAAGGGAGCAGGAGGCAGTGAGGGAGGCAGGGAAGGCTCCTGGGTGTGTGTGTACGTGTGTGTGCGTGCACTCGGTGCTAGAGATGGGACCTGGGGCCTTGTGTGTGCTAGGCAAGCACCACTGAGCCACATCCCCAGCTTTTTAAGAATTTTTATTTTGAGATAGGGTCTTGCCAGGTAGCCCAGGCCAGCCTTGAACTTGTGAGCCTCCTGCCTCAGCCTCCTGAGTAGTTGGGATTACAGACTGGTGCCGCTGCTCTTGGCTTCCAGATGTCTATTTTTAAGTGTGAGGTACTAAGGACATTCACACTTTGTACTTCGGATCTCCAGAATTTTTCATCTTGCTGAATGAGACACTGTATCCATTATCAGTGCCCCGTGTCTCCTTCTCCTAGTGCCTGGTGACCCATCATTCTTTTTTTCTCTTTAGGAATCAGTCTATTCTTGCTACCTCAAATAGGCAGAATCATACAATATCTGTCCTTTTGTGACTGGCTGATTTCACTTAGCATAAAGACCACAAGCTTTCCTACATTGTAGCCTGTATTAGGTTTCCTATCTTTTTAAGGCTAAATAATATTCCATATGTATGGACCACATTTTGTCTATCCATTCATCCATTGATAGGCACTTGGAGTATTGGTCCATTTTCCACTGCCACAACAAAATACCTGAATTAGACAATGTATAGAGAAAAGAGGTTTGTTCCACTCAAAATTTTGAAAGTTCTGTACCCTGGCTCTGGTAAGGGCCCCTTGACTGATGGTAGATGGCATCATGGTGGGAGTATATGGAAGAGGGAGAGATTATAAGTCAAGAAAGGAAGCCAGAAAGGAAGGAGGGGCTATCCTTTCTACTCTTACAGCCCACCCTGGTACAAACTAACTGGAGTCCCAGGAGAACTACATTAATCCTTTCTAAGGACAGGGCCCAAAATGACCTGGTCACCTCCCCCTACCTGCACCTCTTAAAGGTCCACCACCTCCCAACATCATCACCACACTGGGGGACAACCTGAACCACACCAGTCCCCGGCCCCTGGCAGCCCTCGCGTCCTGGCTACATGAGCATTGCCGCTCTGAACCGGGGACAGAGAGCTCAGCCCCTGCTTCTGGCTCCTTCGAATGTGCACGGGTCGGGGTGAGGGTGGACTGAGAAATACTCCTGAACCCAGCCTGGGGCTGCAGAAACCTCCTAGGTCGTTATCAGAGGCTACACCGTGGGAGCGCCCAGGGCCTGTGGAGAACAGGCTCACACCTGGGGTCCTTCTACACATTCAAGGGAACAGGGGTCAACCTCCTGGGCAACTGCCCGCTCTCCATTCTGAAAGACCCGGCCCACCCGCTGGCTGGCCGGGCGTGAATTCCACACCCTGGCAGCCCTGCCCAGCCCACCTGCACAATCTGGAGCTACGGCTAGAAGCCCAAATTCATGGGGTCCTTCCCAGCACTGCCCTTTCCCACAGCACGGTCACCGTGGGGCCTCTTGCTAGGCCCACCCACATGTCAAGGCTGTGATGAGAGGCCAAGTGGGTGGCAGGGCAGCTGAGCCACCCTGCATCCCTCTTTCCCCTGTCTATGGGGCTGGTGGCATCAGGAAGCCAAACCCAGGTCTCTGGCCCAAGCTGTGTGCTTCTAACCCCAGCTCCCATCAGCACCCAGCTCCCAGGAAATACTGGAAAAAATAAGGTGAAGGAAGGACTATGGTCCTCCACAAGAGGGTGGGGTGACCTCAGCAGGACACTGTGAAAGCTCTGCACCCAGAGGGCGCCTGCCCCACTGGCCTGCCTCCCCTGCTGGGTCCATCACCAGAGCCACCTCCGTCTGGATGCCTTTGCCAGGCAGGCTCAGCCACACCCTCCACCACCCACCGGCCAGCAAGCCTTCAGTTCACAGGGCAGGGCAGGGCCAGGATGGCTAGCTGGTGCAAGGGGAGGGACATGGAACCTTTACAGCCAGGAACAAAGTCTTCCCCTATTTAAGCCCAAGCATCCTGCGCTGCAGCTGGTACCCTGGTGTCCCAGCCTGGCCACCGACCACCAGCCTGCCGACATGCAGGGAGCCCGGGTGCTGCTGCTGCTGCTGAGCCTGAGGCTACAGCTGGCCCATGGTGTCATCCCAGGTACGAGGTTCCCCCAGCCCCTCTCCCTGCAACACAGGCCAGCCCCCAGGCTGACCTAGCCTGCACTCTCCCCTTGGCCAGTGGAGGAGCAGAATCCAGCCTTCTGGAACCAGAAAGCTGCCGAGGCCCTGGATGCCGCCAAGAAGCTGAAGCCCATTCAGACCTCAGCCAAGAACCTCATCATCTTCCTGGGAGACGGTGAGTGCACCAGGCTGGTCCACCCCATGGTGCTCACGGGCCTTGAACCCAGGGCCACAGCTAGGTCCAGACCAGCCCTGGGGCTCAGGCCTGAAGGGGATCTGTTCCTTCAGGGATGGGCGTGCCCACAGTGACAGCCACCCGGATCCTAAAGGGACAAGATCAAGGCAAGCTGGGGCCGGAGACACCCCTGGCCATGGACCACTTCCCATATATGGCTCTGTCCAAGGTGAGGCCTCCTGAGCAGGAGGAAGGACCCAGGAGAGATGGGCCTGTCCTCCCTGTCCTAGGCCTGGGTGAAGGACTAAATGTCTGCCCCAGAGCAGAGCTGAGGGTATCTCTGTCCCCAGACATACAGTGTGGACAGACAGGTGCCAGACAGTGCCAGCACAGCCACGGCCTACCTGTGTGGGGTCAAGGCCAACTACAAGACCATTGGCTTGAGTGCAGCCGCCCGCTTTGACCAGTGCGACACAACACGAGGCAATGAGGTCATCTCTGTGATGTACCGGGCCAAGAAAGCAGGTGAGCTTGGGCCTGGGCTTGGGGTCAGGGCAGGCCTGGAGCTCTGGGTGGCCCACCCTGACCCCTGCTACCTCCAGGGAAGTCCGTGGGAGTGGTGACCACCACCAGGGTGCAGCATGCCTCGCCAGCTGGCACATATGCACACACGGTGAACCGCAACTGGTACTCAGATGCAGACATGCCAGCCTCGGCGCTGCAGGAGGGCTGCCAGGACATCGCCACGCAGCTCATCTCCAACATGGACATTAATGTGCGGCACAAAGGGCAATGGGAGGGGGCTGGCTGGAGGAGTGGGTTTTGAAAGGCCACAGCCCCAAGCAACCAATAGCCTGAGTTCTGGGGCCTGTTAGGGTCTCTGGGAAGGTGGGCAAACAAGTGGGGGGCAGTATTGACCTGGTGGGGCAGTGGGGGCTGTCTGTAAGCTAGAAAGAAGGGGGTTTTTTTGCCCCAAGTTCAACTGCCCTTATGCTCTGGCAACAGGTGATTTTGGGCGGGGGCCGCAAATACATGTTTCCTAATGGGACCTCAGACCCTGAGTATCCAGGTGATGTCAACCAGACTGGAGTTAGGCTGGATGGCCGGAACCTCGTGCAGGAGTGGCTGCAAAAGCACCAGGTGACGGGACTCACAGAGGCACAGTCATGGCAGGGACCAGGGTGGGGCTGCAGGTCTCAGACTAAAAACTGGCTCTGTCCCTCCAGGGGGCCCGATATGTGTGGAACCGCCAGCAGCTCATTCAGGCATCCCAGAACTCATCCGTGACATATCTCATGGGTAATGACCCCACTCCTGACCTCAGTGGCCTCAGAAAGCTGCTATTGGAGCCTGTGTGCTTGTGGCCATGACCCTCTCCCAAGTCAGTAGTCACTGGATCCCTTGTCCCTTAGGCCTCTTTGAGCCTGTAGACACAAAATTTGATATCTACCGAAACCCGGATCTGGACCCCTCCCTGATGGAGATGACGGAGGCAGCCATTCGAGTGCTGAGCAGGAACCCCCGCGGCTTCTACCTCTTTGTGGAGGGTAAGTCTGGGAGCCAGAAGAGCAGAGGCGGAGGGGGACCAGGACAGGACCGAGCTTCACGCCCCTCCCACTGGCTCCCGCAGGGGGCCGCATCGACCGTGGTCATCACGAGGGCACAGCTTTCCTGGCCCTGACCGAGGCGGTCATGTTCGACTCTGCCATCGACAAGGCCGGCCAGCTCACCAGCGACCAGGACACGCTGACCCTGGTCACCGCCGACCACTCGCACGTCTTCTCCTTTGGCGGCTACACGCTGCGGGGCAGCTCCATCTTCGGTAGGCGGGGACGGCGACAGGGGCTGTTGCTGCAGTGCTGCGCCGGGGGTGGGTTCTTGGGAGGAGTAAGCTGGTGACAAGGCGAAAGGCGCCTGTGCGCCACACTGGGGTCCCCGGGGGGACGGCGGTGAGCTCAGGTGCCCCCTGTCCCCGCAGGGCTGGCCCCTTTCAAGGCCCGGGACGGCAAGTCGTACACGTCCATCCTGTATGGCAATGGCCCCGGCTACGTGCTGAAGTCTGGCGACCGACCCAACGTCACGGAGGTTGAGAGCGGTGAGTGCTGCCATTGAAGGGTCGTCTTCTTGGGGACAGGGGTGGAGGGGCACTCTCCCGCCCTGAACTCCTCTTCCCTCCAGGTGCCCCCACCTACAAGCAGCAGGCGGCTGTGCCGGTGTCGTCGGAGACGCACGGAGGCGAGGACGTGGCGGTGTTTGCGCGCGGCCCGCAGGCGCACCTGGTGCACGGGGTGCAGGAGCAGAACTACATCGCGCACGTCATGGCCTTCGCTGCCTGCCTGGAGCCCTATGAGGCCTGCGGCCTGGCGCCCCCGACCCTCCAGAGCACCCCTGGGGGTTCCAGCTCTGCTGCTGCCCCACTGTCGCTGACGCTGCTGCTTGGGACGCTGCTATTGCTGCTGGGGGCAGTCGCCCAGCCCTGACCACGCGGCCCTCCGGGGATCACTCCAGGGTCCGCGCAGTTGGTTCTCATTCCCCCACCCAGTGCTCCCTAGGCCGGACTGCCTCCTTCCCCACGGGTCTCCACCTCAGGGTCCCCATCACTCGTCCCGAGGCCCGTGTTGAGGGCCTCAACCTTAGCCCTCACCCTGGGCTGCCACCTCCACAGTACCCCCTCGGACTTCTACCAAGGAATAGCCATCTCTGCGAGATGAGCCAGCCTCAGACCTGGAAGAGCTTCCCCTTTTCACTTGTGGACACTGGGTGGATGTGCCGCAGAGGCGCCCTTGTGACTGAGCCTATGACACTCACGCTTTCTTGGGGCTGCTCTCTGATTCCCTTTTAGAACCTCAGCTGCCCACACCTTTGGAAAAAAGCAGGCTCACAGAAGGACTCTCCACCACACCTACTAGCCTTGGGGACGACCAAGATGACAGCACCCCAGAGTGGTCCCCCACAGAGCCACATCCAGAAACCCCTGGAGTACCCTAGGACTCAGGAATGTGAGGAACCCCAGAGAGGCTGGCTTTCCTCCACCTTCCCACTGACCCTGCCACTGATTCTGCAGGCCAAGGAGGCTGCTAGGGCCAATCCCCAATGGGCTGTGACACAGGGCTCAGCTGTCCCTCTCTGCCCCTCTCTTCACCCTAGAGGCCCAGTGGTGCCATTACACATACTAAAGAGGTGCCCCAAGATACTCAGCATCTTGATGCTGGCCTCCCAATGCCCATTCCAGGCCAGGAAATTCAAGAACCCTCCCAGACATAAAAATGGCAGGAATGGAGGGGCTGCCCAGAGCAACCCTGGGCCCCTCCCGGGACCATCTCAGGCTGCTCACAGATTTCTGAACAAAGAAGACTCCCTGCCCTTCTGGGGTCCCTATTCTCTTGAGAGAGACAAACCAATAATAAAATAAGCTGTTGTACAATATGATGTTGAAAAACCTTGAGCGAATGAAGCCCCCAGAGTGCTTGCAGACAGCTGCGTGATGGAGATTAGGAGGCCAGGGAGAGGCTGCCTGAGGAGCAGACAGTGAGCAAGAGTCCGGGACAAAGTGAGGCCCTGAGCAGTGCAGAACAGCAGTGGGGGTTGGGGGCAAGGGAGTAGCCTGAGGGGTAGGAGGCGGGAGGGATGGGGAAGGAGCTTGAACTCCAGACCTGGAAGACCTGGCTTAGAACATAGTACTCTATGAGAAGGTCTAGTCTTTTTTTCTCTTTCCTTTTTTAGTGGGGTGGAGCAGAGGTGGAAACTGGGCAAGCAGAGGGGAGGTATGGACTTCCAATATTTTTGAACTGCATCCCCCAAAACATTCTAGAGTACACAACCAAATAGGCAGGTCTTACCTACCCTAGTGAGAACATTTGAAAAAATTATATGAAGGTGAAATCAACCATGTGTTTCAATAAATTTTGCAATATTATAAATATATTTGTACATTTACAAAAACTCCAAAAAGCACTTTGCTCCAATTAGAAATATTAATATGATCGAATATGCCTCCTTCTTTACTAAAATCTTGATTTAACACTGTAAAGCATCAATTTGATAGCTTGGCTCTCAAGGCCGTTTATTTCAATTCTGAATTTTAGTGGCTGTCACAAGAACTATGGGAGCTGAAAGGAAGAAGGGCATCTTTAGCTGAATTTACAAAAATCATCATTCTTGTTTCTAAATTCCATCCACCAATTATGTGAAAGCTTTTGTTAAAATCCAGTTAGTATATTTTTGTCTTCCCTGATGTCGATTAGTTGGTCTTTCAACACAGTGGAAAGGTGTTACGTATTCATGTTTTATAAATATTTTTAAACCCAAGGACCTTTTCATTTGAAAACTACTTTTTTTTTCAGTGCTAGAGATGTACCCAAGGCCTCAGGTATGCTAGGCAAGCACTCTACCACTGAACTACATCCCCAGCCCAAACTACAAGTTTGTTTGGTTTTTTTTCATACATATGTTTAGTTGTTGACAGATCATTTATTTATTTATTTATATGTGGTGCTGAGAATCAAACCCAGTACCTCACACATGCTAGGCAAGAGCGCTACTGCTGAGCCCCAGCCCCAGCCCCCCAAACTACAAGTTTTAAAAACAGTTTGTTCTGAAATTAGATGGTGGTGATAAGTTGCACAACATTGTGAATGTCCTAAAACCCACTAAATTGTGCACTTTACAAGGGTTAATTTTACATTATGTAGATTATACCTAAAATTTAAAAAAAAACAGATTAGGTTGGATAGTTTCTGCTTCTAGGTTTCAAGGTGGGGGTATGAGTAGGTTTTACCAGTCAACTACATTCTGTGACCACAGAATCCTGTGCCAAGGAAAACACTTTTCAAACCAGGTGCAGTGGTGCATGCCTGGCAAATCGGGAAGCTGAGGCAGGAGAATCAAAAGTTTGAGGCCAGCCTGGGCAGCCTGACAAGATCCTGTCTCAAAATAAAAATTAAAAGGGGCTGGGTCCACAGGAGAGCGGTAGAGCTCCCCTGGTTCAAGCCCAGCGCTGCAAAATAGAAAACGATATTTTTTAAAATGTTCTTTCTTTAGCATAACAAGATAATTACCTTCTTACTTTTTCATTAAAAGGATATTTTTTTATCTAGATGGGGCCAGGGCAGCGAAAGTGCATTTATTTTTTTCAAACTTTTTACTGAGTACCTAAAACTAAGTTCATATCACCTCAAAAAATACCAGCACACTCATCCTGAAGAAAGAGCCAGGCGTGGCGGTGCAGGAGGTGAGGCAAGAGGATCTGTTGAGCACAGGAGTTCCAAGAAAGAGGGAGGAAAGTTAGGCAGAAAAACAGGGACTCAGAACAACTCCTGTCAGTACTTTTTTTTTTTTAAAGAGAGAGAGAGAGAATTTTTTAATATTTATTTTTTAGTTCTCGGCGGACACAACATCTTTGTTGGTATGTGGTGCTGAGGATCAAACCCGGGCCGCACACATGCCAGGCGAGTACGCTACCGCTTGAGCCACATCCCCAGCCCGGTCCTGTCAGTACTTTTAAATGTTCATCTTTAGGAGCCATAAAGAAGACTCATCATTTGTTTTCTGGAACGTTCTCATGGTCACCCCATTCTCATTACCAAAGATTTTACTCTAATAGGACAATCTTGGTTTTATAAAACTCACCCCACTGATGGCCTCCGATAGCATTTGATGTACCTTTGAAGCTTCCACTTCCATCCTCTCACGGTTTGATTGTGAATGAGTAAGTGGGTAGGTTAGTAGATGGGTGGGTTAGTAGGTGGGTGGGTTAGTAGGTGGGTGGGTTTTGTAGGCAGTGCTACCTGTGGACCCTTATTGACATCCAGAATTCTTTTAAAAAAAAAAATCTTTTCTAATAGTTCTTCCACCAGTGGATCCACTTTTACTGTTTTCCCCACATGACACTGTTTTTATTAAACAAGGCATTTACTGTTGGCAATATATCTTCTCTGCTATGTCTTTCCTTTAGCTGCGCTCACACACACACACACACACACACACACACACACACACACACAAAGTGGTTTGTGTATTTCATTACTGGAACAGAATCCAGCAAATACCTTAAGCTGAAGCGTGTTAGAAACATCTGTACTTCCCTCCAACTGTATAGACAACCTCCCACACTGGGTAATTTGCTCTAATACTCATTTCTTCCAATCTATGGTGATGTTTTCTCCACATCTTCCAAGAGCATTTGCTGACAAGAAATGCCTTTTGGTTTGTCGACAGATCATTTACTGTTCATTGTTTCTGCCATTTTTACTGCAGCAGAAAGAAAAAGTGTTTGCCTAGTGGTAGGTGTTTTTTGTTTTATGCTATTATGCAAGAAACTTGAAAAGAGCTTTCCAAATATTTATCATTGCTTAGGGAAATATCAAAAAGCACTGGATTGAACAGCACATAACTTTAAACGTCGCCGGGAAAAGAATTGCGGGGGTTTGTATTCATGTTCTGAAAGCTGTTTTTAAATCCCTTGCAAACCATGAGTGTTCCATGCGGTTGTCGATGAATATCTCGGGGGACAAGGCACTAGGAAGGATGAGGAGGGGCTAGCTTCAGATGGTTTTGTTGTGTTTGTTTTCTTTCTTTGGGGCTAACGCCTTGTCCCATGTCACATGGGGATGCACCAGGCTTAAGCCCAGCCACTTCTGGTTTGCCTGACTGTGGATTTTTGGTATTGTTTGCAGTTTCTTTACAGGAATCTTTTGTAAGCCACTTGACCATACTGGAGGATTAGTTTGGTTAAAACTAGATCATATAATCCATAAATCCACTTAGGCAGGCACACTAAACTCTAATACGTCACAATCCACTCAGAGTGAGCAAATTCGCAGGAGGAGGCTTATTCTGTCAACCCCTGGCCTGTGGCACCACATTCTTTCCCTCTGGAACAGAATCATATGGGAAGGTGCCCAGCTGCCCAGCTGAAGACTGATGGGGCTCAGTGTTAAACACAAGGAGTGTTTATTCCCATCACAGGTACACACTGTGCAGGACTGTGCCAAAGTATGTGAAGAAGATGACCAGATGCCCAGCACAGGGCAGGCACATAGTAGGCACATGCCCCTCTAGCCAAACCCCTGGCCACCAGGAGGGTCCAGACATGCTGGGCCCTAGGCAGAACTCTTAGACCCTGTGACCGTGGGTGCCTTGCTCCCTGCAGAGCTCAGCCCAGGTTGGAGTCCCAGAGGACACCACGGGTTCCCAAGCAGACCTGGAGCCCACTGCTCATGCCTCCTGCAGCTCTGGTGGCCTGCACAGAGTGATGATAGGGAGAGACAGGCATGCTCCCCACAGCCTCTCAGGAGGGCTCAGGCAGGTAGCAGGTGTATCCTCCTCCTGAACTTGGTGCTGTGTGGCATCCGATGTTGGTCCCAGAAACAGGAGCCCCCGAACCTGTTAGTACCACATGATGCTCCATTTCCCCCACGGAGGTTCCCTGAATCCAGGCCTAAGGGAGGCCTCCAGAGACCTGGGCAAGCTACACAGAATTTGCAATTGCACCCTCTGATCTACAGTGGCCCCTGGGCCTTCTTACTCCCGCTGTGTGGGACTTGCACACTTGCTAGCAGGGCACACACCAGACCGCAGCACAGCTGAGCAGCAGGAAGATCCCCTTGATATAACCTTGCCCACGAGGGATGCCAGTCTGTGCCAGTGTGCTTGGCAAGTGCCCAGGAACCAACTGCGTGTCTCCTGGACTGACCCTTGAGTTGCCCCTGAAGCTGCCCCTCAAGGAGGAAACAGCCAACCCCTGTCCCAAAGGGTGAGGCCACCATCTGCCCTTAACAGGAAGGTGTCCTGGCCCTGGCTCCTTGTTCTGGTCCTAATTTGCTCTCCAGACCTGCAAATTGTCCTTATCAGTCAGCATGGTACCTCTGCCCCTCTCCAGCCTGCACAGGGCCCCTCAGGTAAGACAGGGCTCCTGCAGGATCCCCTGTGCACATCTCTCCCAGCAGCTCCTACAACTGGTTGGTCCCACAGGAAAGTGGGAGTTTTTTATTATTATTTATGCAAAGTATAGACAAGGAGAGATGCGGTTTAACAGCACCGTGTGACAGCAGCTTGGGGACCTGAGCTGCCTGCGGCCTGATGAATCAGCTACGAGCCGCTGCCAGAGGCTCCCAGGTCCTGGGTGGCATCTGAGAGGGGAAGTCAGGCGCCTGCCTTGCCTCCCTACCCACCCCGATCCCACCCAATGAGCTCATGCTGGACTTTGGCTGGCTGAGGCTGAACCTAGTGCCCCCATGCAGCACTCTGGGCACCTTGAACCCTCTGCCAGGTGGCAAGGAGGGCGGGGAAGAGGCACCTACTGTGGTCAACAGAGTGGCTGATTTCTGCTATAGCAGGGCACACAGCGGCAGGACAGGCGACCTGAGAGAGAATGAGGCACAACCCACACAGTGCAGGGGGCAAGGAGGTACCATGTGGCGTGGCACCTCAAAAGTGGGCTGCAAACAAGGAGGGCTGAGAGCCCCCACCCCAGGAGATGGGAAAGAGGCCCCAGAGAGAGGCCCAGATGAGC